ATTAAGCTTATTCTTGGTGTCGATAAGTCAGAGACTTAGGGTAACGGACCGAAAACACAAGCACAATACCAATAAAAAAACTTTCTTTGGTTAGCATACACTAATACCATCACAATAAAAGAAATTACGTTTATGAATAAAAGTGAAGATAACTAATTAGGTAACATCCAAAAATGAGGTTATTCAGCAAAAAAGATTAGATCAATGGTAAGCCTGCCCTGAAAAGAATTGAGTGCAACTACTTAAAAGGCTTTATCAAGTTGCCTGTATTGCAAAGTTGTAAGAACTACAAAGAGGAATGATATAACTTACTGGCTTCACTAATTGGCACTTAAATGAGAGTAGTTTACAGTTTATTTCTCTACATGATAGTCCTGCAAAGTTATAATAAAAGAGGAAGAGAGGTAATGGCAGATAAGAGAGGAAAGTTTCTCCTTTAGAGCAGAGTAGGCTATTTCGAAAAGCTTCATAAGCTTAGCACAATTTTTAAACGTATATACCCAGAAAGTAAGAATGAAAAGTTGCCCGCAAAGATATGCTGGTAGCAATAAAGTGGATAAGTCAAAATAAAGATAGCAATGCAAGGCCTACTAATGCCAATATTTGAGTTAAAAAAGGCAGTACCAATTGGGATTTTGATCTATTGATGTAATGAGTGATGAATGAAACCAATTAAGGCGAATATTCGGAACCTGGAAGTTTTTAAAAATTATTTTAATTTCGTACATACGAAGATAACATTATTGGGATTAAACATTAATTACCCTAGACTGAGAGGTCAGGACAAGTGTTTTCGTAACTTGACCTACATACTTACAAGCTTATATCTCATTATCTCAACCATACTTGCTTACGGACTTACGAAGTCTCGGTCAGGGCTTTCTCTTGGGTTATTAGGCGTAGATGATCAGAGCCTCACATTAGTCTTTTGATAACTCTGATTTAGGACCGGTATTGTGTATAGACGCTAACACACAGATATACACACACGCACGCAATGATCCCTTTAAAAAAAATGGAAAATCAAAATGTGTCTGGGTAAAGTTACCTGTGGCCTCAACATCAAGGACGGGGTTTGAAATTGAGCCAAACATATCAGTTGCGTCAGCAGGTCGAGAAGACTCTATCCCCATTGATAGATATAACAACAGCATATGCGTGCATTCGGGCAGCGAGACTGATTCTGAAGACTGACCTAAAGACTGGACCTCTGCCAGGTTGCGATTATCCGAAGCCAAGGGATAGGATAAAGTAGTCGCTTTCAAATGCTTATCAGCAGATGCTTTGATACCGGAAGCCAAGTCCCCGGGACGGCATGGCCTCTTTGCCAGAGGTGGCCGATAATCAGAGATTTTTGATTCTGTTAGCTCTGAAGACATTGCATTGGAGTCCGCTGATACACACTTCCGAGAGTTTCGATTTGGCATTGAAATATTTATATCTTCTAAACTCGATATAGGTGGACTCTGATGGGGAAGCGCAGTGGCATCATGCTTATGGAAACGCGCTTCTGAAGACGAATTTTTCTCAAAAACTGGCAATGCTGTTTGAGTACCAGATCCAAGATCGATCTCGGGCTGCTTGGCAATCCCTAACTGTCCAGTTGGCTGGCCTTGGTCTCGAATTAGCTCATGATTGGTGCCTTGGATTACTGCCCGCTCTGAATTTATATCTGGTTGCAAGATCGAATCCGTGCATTGATTCGGGTTCAAATCTCGAGTAGCAACCAGCTCAAGACCTAACTGACCACGAGCCCGGTCAACTGGTTTCTCAAGCTCCCGTATGGCCTGATAACAGGCCTGGTGCAAAGCAAGTGGGCTAATCTGATGCAGCAGAACTTTGTAAGGGCCATGTGGAGCCAAAGGGCAAGGAGGGGCAGAGGGAGATGTGCAAATCCCAAACGCCGTACAGTTTGATGAACCAGATGGTATCTTGCCAGAAGGCTTTAGTTCTTGAGGAGGTAAGAGCAGAAAGGGTGATATCAATTAAAGTTAAGAAAATATGAGGGATAAGTATAAAATGACAAAATAATGCGCAATAGATATAAGTTATGATATTAGTAGAGTCAAGAAGGAACTAAAGGCCTGGCTATATTAGCTAAATGGGCACATGTAGACAAAGTAAAAACATTTTTGACGAGTTGTTCGTAAGAGAGGCGATGGAAAGGAAGAACGAATTTATCCAAACTAACCACAAGAAAATAAAGGAAAATCTGCAATATGGAATATCCTGGCCAGATCCAATATGTAAAAGATGTTTTGATAAGTTTAATACCACGTGTATCACGCCACGCATTGGCACCAAATTAGTATATTTCACAAAACACAATTTTCTAGCCTATCAGAAAAGGTTTCAGCATTTTAAACTCTCAAACGTTTTTACGAAATATCAAATTCAAAAGTGTTTTTCCCTTTCCAAACTTAAAGAATATAAAAATAGGAATATCTCATAATGCAAGGTATGCTGAAAACACAAGATAATGGGAGAAATCAGAAAAGAAATTAAAGAAGCCAAGGGGATATAAAATCTAATTAACGAGAGCTATTTCGACACTAAATTACCAAGCTAGGTAACCAACAAGAGTTTTGGGAGGTCCGCGACCTTCTTTTAATAGCAATCGCCTATTAATAGTTCAGGAAGAAGGCAGAGATTTAATATAAATAAAGAATAAGTATACAACATGATTGTGCAGGTCGTTAGAACTGGCTTTGTTTGCAACTCAGGCAAGTTGCAGTTTGTTTCTGAGGCTAGCACTACTAATAGACTATTTACACTTCACTCAGACTCCCACCGAGGGCGAATTACGAGAAAAATTTTTTAGAATCTCGTTGTCAGCACATCCAAGTTGAGAAAACTAGCGTTGATACGCAAAATTCGTATGTACCAT